GCAGGGTCCGGTATGGCTTTGAATTTAATGGGGGACTGTGGGTTGAGATTCCTGCATTGTAGGGAGTTGGACTAGATTATCCTCGGTGTCGCTTCCAACTCTCCAATTCTATGATCCTATAAGCTTCCAACGTGCCCCTTCACCCATTCAAACTGAACACCTGAAGAGGGCTAATAGAACAGGGTTATATACTCCACTCCCCTGAAATTCTGCCTGTAAAGGAAAGCTCATGGTCTGACATTAGTTCAGTCCTGGTTCAAAAAAAAATGAAGGAATGGATGTCTTGAAATTATATCATACTGCAGACATGAACTTCCACCATGTCTTCACAGATATTTTCTCTCTTTCCCCTCTTTTAACAGAGATCCTTAGAAGAGTCAGTGTTGTAAGTCAAAAAACAAGTCCCTCTCTCTCTCTCTCTCTCTCTCTCTCTCTCTCTCTCTCTCTCCTAATAAAGAAACACTCTGAAGCCCCTTTTCATATAATGTTTTCTGCCATAAATCCCTGATTCATCTGCCTGGAATCCCTGATTTTTTTTTAAACTCCAGACTTAATTCCATGGGGCGACCATAACCTGTTTCCCCCTTGCTATGCCATTGCAGTAAGAGAACACAACTTGTTCTCTTATTTTATTTGTCTCCAACTTAAAAAAAAATAAAAATTACTGGAAAGTACTTCATTGTCTTAAACCTCCCCCTCCCCCAACCCTGCCGAAAATAATTGCCATTTTATTGAAGAGCTGTAGAAGTAAATTAAAGCTAATCTACGTCAGCAGATGTACAGGTTATTGGGTTCACACAACTCACGCAAATTATTTATATAATGGATTGCATGTCACAGAATGGTTAATATTTAATACCCCTAAATGAAAATTAAGGCCAAATATAGTATCATTATGGAACTTGCTTGTTTAAATATTACAAATGACATGAGCTATTTTCGAGAATTTCTACTAAACTCTGCCTCAGTCATAGGATTTTGTACACAAATCTTTTCCTATTTCAACGCCCCCTCTCCCTTTTCACTGAGGCTACAAAAGATATGAGAATATCATATTTCAAGTGTGCACGGAAAATTGCAACTGAGTTATGTACAATTAAAGCTTTTGCATATTACAATGCTAATGTAATAGAAAAACAATGACTCAGATCTGGTTCTATTTTCCTTGACATTTTCTTACTTTAGGGCTGTCCCATGGCTGTCTCCCTTGAAAATTCTCCAGAATTAAACTCCATCTGCTGGATTTGTCCTTTGTGGCCAAAAACAAACCAACAAACCAACAAGTTATATATTTCTCTCTGTGTGTGCATGGGGAATAACTTGCACGCAAGTGAGAAGATGCTTTGCAATTTCTACAGCTACAGCAGCTTTCTGTGATTAGGTGGCCAATTGCTTTGAAGTCCACATTTTATACTTTTAACTAAAAAGGAGGACTCAGTCAAATGCTACCCTGAAGTTCACCATTCCACGTGCAGGCTGAGAAGTTGGGTGTTCATTTTGGCAATCGGTATGGAAAGCAAACGGGCAATAATTTTACTCGGCTTAGCGCTTCTGTCTTCACTCTTCATTCAGCTGTTGCTGATAATTTTCTTAAAAGGAAAAAAAGGTTGGTGACTTCCATCTTGATGCCAAATCAGAGTGAGGACATTATCTGGAAAGAGTGCTTTCTGTTGAGGATGTTCTGTGTGTAAGAAGGTGAAGCTTGATTCGGGTCTTACCTGGTCTTTGCTTAAAAGAGCTTATGTTGGACCAGTGTTGATTCAAGTCCAATTTGACTGGTCAGCAACTTAACAACTTTCTGGATCAAAGAACCACTCACTCAAAAAGCCTGCACCTTGCCAGGATTCAGACTCAGTGTACTAAATAATAATATAATATAATATAATATAATATAATATAATATAATATAATATAATAATATAATATAATATAATATAATATAATATAATATAATAATATAATATAATATAATATAATATAATATAATATAATAATATAATATAATATGACCCCATGCAGCCCACTACTGTATCCAGTGTCAGGGACTGGACAGAGGAGGAACGGTGGAGACCAGCTCACCTTCCAGAGAAGACGAAAACAGTTTAGATTTACAACAGGAGTTTGAGGAAGGTCACAGCTCAGAGGCAGATGAGGGGGAAAGCTGGGAAATAATGGGAGAGGAGGAAGAGGAAGAGGAAGTACCAGGGGAATGACAGCTGATGGACACAGTGTCTTTAGAAAGCATTCCAAACCCTCCCTCTCCTAGAACCTGGTGAGCCTTGAAAGTAGGAGAGCAAAGAGCTCAAAGACAGAGGGCACTTCTCAGCACCCATAGAGGAGGTGATGAGGATGACAAATGAGGAAGTGGGAGACACGGAGGGGGTGGAGATTCACTCGGGACAACATCATTATCCAAGAGGCTGGGTTCTAAAGCCTCTCTCTGTAAATAGTGAATAAAAAGTGGATGCTAAGAAAATTCCTTGTCTTTGTACATTCCTGGGCAACCGGCCATGGGAGTTGCTGGCAGCATCCTGACACCCAGGACTTTCTCAGCCATTCCATATTCAGATATTACAGAGAAATAGAGTTGGGTATCATCAGCATACTTATAGCACCTTGCTTCAAAACTCCTGATGACCACTCCCAACAGCTTCAAGTAGATGCAATAGCACCAGAGGCGATATACTGCCCTGCAGCACCCCACAGCTTAAAAGTCAGGGGGCTGAGAAGCATTCATCCAATGCTATCTTCTGGAATTGTCCCTGAAGATAAGACCAGAACCATTGCAGAACAGTGCCCTCCAATACCCATCTCCCATAGATAGTCCAGGAGGACACTATGGTCAATGGTAGCAAAAGCTGATGAGAGATCTAGTGAGAACACAGTTGCACTCCCCATCCCTCTCCAATAGCATGATCAAGGCAGATTCTGTCCCAAACCCAGATCTCAACCCAGATTGAAATAGGTCTAGATAATCAGTTTCCTCCAGGAAGGACCCCTTCAAATACTTTGCCAAAAAAGGATATTTGCAATAGGGTGGTTGTCCAGGGTGGTTTCTTTCAGGAGTGGCCACACTGCCTCTTTCAAGGCAGCAGGGTGGGGGGCATGTCTGAAAGGGTTCAGGGTTTGAACGCATCCAGAGATGCTCCCCTGGCTAGCTTTAATTAGTCATGGACAGGAACATCACCAGACTGCAAAAACTGACCCCACAAAATATGGCTTGATGAAGCATTGGAAACCTCACGTGCAACTTCCTCAGTCACAGCATCTAGCTTCCTACAGAGACAAACAACTTTGTCCTTTAAGTATCCATCAAGCAACTCTCTGAGTCTCTGAGGTGTGCCAGGCTCCATCCACTCATATAGGCATCAATGGCCTACAGACTGCCCTGAAAAGCTCTGCTGGCCAATTTCTCAAGGACGCAGTGGAAGCAACAAAGGAGACCTTCTTCGCTGCTTCCACAACCATGCAGTAGGCGCAGTTTGCAGCGGGATCTCCCCCACCTGCCCTCTAGCTGTTGCCTGGCCTTTATTTATTAAGGTTAACAGATTCTTACAGATTCATAAAAATGGCAGCAATAATACTCTACAGTGTGAGCTGCAGTTCCGACTGTGGGGACTGGATTCTGCTTGCAGTCACCTGACAAATCCTCACTTTGCCCACACGTCTCATAAATCACAGGCACAATATGCATGTGAGCAAAGAGCACAGCCATTTGGAGTGTTTAAATAGAAAAATGCAAATAAATAGATAAATGCCACCGCTGTGCATTTGAGACTATAAGTCGGGCCATAGCCAGGCCTATGCTTGATGTCACCCAGCCAAAACAGGATGGACAAGAATGAAACCCCATTTGCCCACTGCAGTGATCAGAGCCTTTCAGTATTATAAGAACTGATAAATAGTCCGTGTGTCAGACATTTCATTTGCTTAATCAAAATTCCTAGTCTGCTAAATTAATCACCCCCCGGGGCTACAGGAACAGATTTCCAATTTAGCTGCAAAGCATTATTAATAATGAAAAGTTCTGGAAGCACTTCTTGATTCAAGTCTCCTTTTGTTGATCAGGCAGGTTTAATGTGACAGGACCGGAGGGGAGCAGGCGCTGGGTCCCTTTGGACATTGCTAATAAATATAAAATAGTTCTTGATGTCATAGCATTCAGATGTCTCTTTTTATTGAAAATTACAACCCACATATCAGCGGTAGCACCATGTAGTATGCACACATCCCCACACAGCGTCTGGGCTAGAGATTATTTCCGCTGCCTCCCCTAAAAGTTTCTAATTACACGGAAGCAGGAATGGAGCGGAAATTATAAAACGGTATGCAGTGTATACATAAGTGGTCAACAGGGATGGGTTATTTGTTCACTCATTTTTTGCATTTCTATCCTGGTTTTCAATTAAAAAGTTTGATATGGCAAAGAGTGGAGAGAGAGAGAGATATGAAAACTATATATCCAGCAAGTCAAAATTCAGAATCATGCCAGCACGGTAGACCTTTGCTCCCTCTCACCAAACGTCTAGCAACAATTCTTGCTTTAATTTAGTAAAGGGTAAAAGGTAAAGGACCCCTGGACGGTTAAGTCCAGTCAAAGATGACTCTGGGTTGTGGCGCCCATCTTGCTTTCAGGCCAAGGGAGCCGGTGTTTGTCCACAGACAGCTTTCCGGGTCATGTGACCAGCATGACTAAACCGCTTCTGGTGCAACGGAACACCGAAACCAGAGCAGAGCACAGAAATGCCATTTACCTTCCCGCCGGAGCAGTACCTATTTATCTACTTGCACTGGCATGCTTTCGAACTGCTAGGTTGGCAGAAGCTGGGACAGAACAACGGGAGCTCACCCCGTCACGGGGATTCAAACTGCCGACCTTCCGATTGGCAAGCCTAAGAGACTCGGTGGTTTAGATCACAGTGCCACCAGCGGAATGACAACTTACAATGGTCCATCTGCCTCAGCATAGCCAACGCAGGCCCACAGTGGCTTCCAAAGGTTTCCTACCTGGAGATGCTGGGGACTGAACCAGGGACCTTCTGCATCCAAAGCAGTTGCTCTGCCACTGAGCCAGTGGAGTGTAGTGGTTAAGAGCAGTGGACTCGTAATCTGGTGAACCGGGTTCGCTTACCCGCTCCTCCACATGCAGCTGCTGGGTGACCTTGGGCTGGTCACACTTCTCTGAAGTCTCTCAGCCTCACTCACCTCATAGAGTGTTTGTTGTGGGGGAGGAAGGGAAAGGAGAATGTTAGCTGCTTTGGGACTCCTTCAGGTAGTGATAAAGCGGGATATCAAATCCAAACTCCTCCTCCTCCTCCTCCTCCTCCTCCTCCTCCTCCTCCTTCCCCCTCAGTTAGTTCAAGACCACTCTGTACATTAACCCTACTGTATGTTCAATGGCTCCATTATAAGCAATATAAATTATTTTAGAGGTCTCGGTCTCCATGTACTTACACTGGCAAATACTAGTGTTAGCCCTGCTTCTGGAAGCATGGGTGTATTTGTATGTGTTCTCGCATTTCTCTTAAAGTGAAGGGGATCTTTGAGCTTGGATTTTGTTTTTCAATAGAGACTGCTTTCTGATCCCAGCCAATTAGGGATCATACAGAGAATGTGTTGATGTTATCTCATCAGGCATTAAGATCCATCTATGTGACGACATCAAGAAGGCAGTATATCCAGTGAATAGTTGTACATTTTCACACACACCCATGACAAACTGACCAAACAGAGCTTCCCCTTCTTTTGGCTCAGCTGGAGAAGCAGCTGAATACTTTTTAAAAGCCCGTTAGCTTAGCTTCTTCAACAGAGTCTGTGCTGTCAACTGTTTGCAGCAAAAAATAGCATGGACTCCGTATGCGTGTGAGTAAAAGAAGTGAGACACCTCCCCTGCCGGAAAACAACGGCTCCATCCTTTGCAAATTAATTTTAATAACTGTGGCTAGTTTGCTGTGAGTCAAAGAGTTTTGCATGAACACACACAATTAAATTAATATGCAAATGTCCCGGTTCCTCTGAGAGCACAAAGAGGCATTCTTTGTAACACATGTGATGAGAATTGGGGGTTGGGAGGAGAAAGGAAAATACATCTGTTGCCAGACTCTTTCCATTTTGTTCCCATACTTCCGATCGCCTGTTGGTAGTTGTCAAGAACAGCAAAGGCTACCGGCGGATAACGGTGAGAGGACACAACTCACCCTGCATTTAAATGGAGCCAAGTGCTTCCAAACTGTGGACAGGGCCGTCTATTTGATTCCCTTCCCCTCTTTCTTTTTTCCTTTCTCCTCCTGTGAGGGAACTCCTATTTGGGGACTTCCCTGGCTTTTTTCTGGCCCATGTAGGACCAGTCTGGATAGTTAGCCTTGGTGAAGATTTGACGTTTTCATCCCCAAAAAAGTTTTGATTTGAGTTTCCATTGCAATGAGGCTGCATTTTAATGTTGTATTTTAATCTTGTTTTTTAAGTTGTATTTCAATCAATTTGTTTTTATATCGGTTGTTAGCCGCCCTGAGCCCGGTCTTGGCTTGGGAGGGCGGGGTATAAATAAAATTTATTATTATTATTTATTATAGGCGCTAGGGGTGCGGGGCACCCAGGCGCCAGGCTCTCGGGGGCACCAGGTTGAGAGTCCGGGGCCCAAGAGTTGAGTCTAGGGAAGAGCCTGCCCATCGGCCGAAGAGCTGCAGTGGATTCTTCTGCTGCGGACGGCTCTGTGCCATGAGTTCGTGGGCAACCAAGCCAGTGAGACACTGAGGTGGCCGGCTGGCTCTGCCCTCCTGCGTGCCTGGGACTGGGCAACCTTGGAGGCGGGGCGCCAGGCAGATCTTTGCACCCCAGCACCACATATGCTTAAGACAGTCCTAACCATGGAGCACCCTGAGGCATGCTAAGCCAGTCTCCTCACCATCCTCTCGCGAACAGGGCCATACTTCAGCTCTCCAGTTGTTAAGGACATTCCAACTACAGTGGTACCTCGGGTTACATACGCTTCAGGTTACATATGCTTCAGGTTACAAACTCTGCTAACCCAGAAATAGTACCTCGGGTTACGAACTTTGCTTCAGGACGAGAACAGAAATCGTGTTCCGGCAGCGTGCTGGCAGCAGGAGGCCCCATTAGCTAAAGTGGTGCTTCAGGTTAAGAACAGTTTCAGGTTAAGAACGGACGTCCAGAACAAATTAAGTACTTAACCTGAGGTACCACTGTATGAACGTTGTGCAGGAACGTTGGGCGCTTTAGCCTTGCACTTGCCATTGCATAGTTCAGTCCAGCTTGAACTATCCAGATTCTTAACTGCACAAGGAACCTCCACAACCATTACCCTAGAACACAGGAAAGCCGTCTCACATCATGTGGTGATTTGGTGGGGCTAGGTGGTCTTTTCTGCTTGTGTTGCACCTTCATTGTTGCAACACCTGAATTGCATTTCTGCTGCTCAGCCATTGGCAATACTAAGCAGCCTGTGCACGCTTGCGACTTTTCCAATGGTTCAGCCTTCAAGTGTCCGTGTCTCTCTTCTCAGGAATTGCCCCTAATGCTTCCACTCCCTGGACAGCTTGCAAGTGAGGAGGCAGGCTGGCTGAGGGCACACAAGATGCTGGTGGGGCAATGCCCCCTTTTCCCTAATGGGCTGGCCTCTACTGGTTTCAAGGAGATGAATGGGTGGAATCAGAGCTGACAGGATGTGCTGTGTGGGGCTGTCTGAAGACGGGGAAGGGAAAACATATTGGAGGTGGACAGGCTAAAGTCCAAGGATACAGGATGAAGCCAATAGTTTCTGCCAGCAGCAAGTTGGTGAGACCAAAGAAGACAGTGGATATGAAAGTGTTAATACTTGCTGGTGGCACCATGTTGGCTCTGCGGTATCTCCTAGCTTCTAGTTGTCCCTGCCTTATGCTTTCATCCCTCCTTGATCTAGCTGCAATTTGATTAGAACAGTGGAAGGGTGCTTAACCTTTTCCCCGGAGGGCTGTTTTTCTTATCAAAATTCATCCTCCAAGCTGCTTTCCCACCTGGCGGGGACAAGATACAATTTCTGTCCACCTTTTTGCACTCAGGGAGAAAAGCAGCTTGCTCAGTGTGGTTTTCAGAGGGCAAATCGCCCACAGGAAAAGAGCTACACTCTCCCTTTAATCATAACCAGATTCCCCGCAGTTCTGTTGTTTATTTTTTAAAAAAAGCTTTCTTGACTTATGCTTCGTGTGCCCAGTCATGACTCTTTTGGCCCGCAAAGTAGCAAATCACAAAGTTTGTCTCTTTGTCATCTTTTGTTCAGGCTGCAGAATGATCTAAAAACATCGAGGCTGCAGAATTAATAAATTTCAGCAGAAACCATCTGTTTTGCCTTCAACTGCGCTGTGACTGCCTCTGGTAAATAATACATAAAGGGCATTAGTCTCTAGAAACACAGTCCTGGCAGTGGAGAAGGAGGAAGAGGAAGAGGAAGAGGAAGAGGAAGAGGAAGAGGAAGAGGAAGGACTATTTCCTAACTGGGCAATCAATGTAGGGGGAAAAAACCTAACCTGAACATAGACCAGCAAAACAAAAGGTGTCTGGCTAGAAGACAGAAAGGAATAAGAGAGAGAAAATCTGGAGAGAGTTCTCCACCCCCCTTTATTTTTGGCAGCGTGTTTAAGACAGTATTTTGACAGAAGCATCATTGATCATGGTGTATGCACTCATCGTAGTGTTGTTAAAAGGCTGCAAAAGCTGCTTGAGTGGAAATGACAAAAGATGTGTGCGTACTCCCAAGGCAATGATCCATCTCTTTCCACTTTCAACTAGGGATGAAATGGATATCTGCAATTTTTCCCCCCACCAGCAGAAATTGTGTATTTGAATATGCCGGGAATCATTACTAAACAGGCACTGACGGCTTTACACATCATTTCATGGATTCATGGAATAGAGCACAAGGTGCAAACAGGTGCTTAGAGATTGTGCAAACTGGCGAATACCGTATTTTTTGCTCTATAAGACTCACTTTTTCCCTCCTAAAAAGTAAGGGGAAATGTGTGTGCGTCTTATGGAGCGAATGCAGGCTGCGCAGCTATCCCAGAAGCCAGAACAGGAAGAGGGATTGCTGCTTTCACTGTGCAGCGATCCCTCTTGCTGTTCTGGCTTCTGAGATTCAGAATATTTTTTTTCTTGTTTTCCTCCTCCAAAAACTAGGTGCGTCTTGTGGTCTGGTGTGTCTTATAGAGCGAAAAATACGGTAGCTTTGAAAGGGACAGCGACTGAGTTTGATCCTGCATTTTGCGAACAGCCAGAAATGATTGTTCCAAAAACTCCAAAGCCCTCCATGGTCTTAAGTGTCCTGTAGGAATGTTAAGCATTCCCTTTCCAAATACATTACAGTGGTACCTCTGGTTGCAAACGGGATCCGTTCCAGAGCCCTGTTCGCAACCTGAAAAGAACGCAGCTCACATCTGTGCATGTGCGTGTTGCGATTCGCTGCTCCTGTGCATGACGTCATTTTGTGCGTCTGCGCATGCGCGAGCGGCGAAACCCGGAAGTAAACCTTTCTGGCACTCCCGGGTCGCCGCAGAACACAACCTGAAAAGACATAACCTGAACCGAACATAACAAGAGGTATGACTGTACTAGCAAGAGGTAGGGTACAGACATATCCTTGAAAACTTTCTATCCATTCATCCTCATATTCCTGCTTGCTCAGCCATGAAACTCACTGGGTGACCTGGGGCTGGTCATTATTGCTCAGTCTAGTCTACATTACAGGGTTGCAGTGAAGTACAACATTAGGGGAGAACATTAGTTATGTTGCATTCCTTGGAAGAAAGGGGGATTAACACGCAATAAACAGAAAACAGAGATTTTCTGTCTCCCAAACTGCTGTCTTGGGAGCCTTTTAAGGCACTACTACAAGAAAGGAGACGGCAGCTAAACACCGGGAAGAACCTTCTGGTGGCAAGAGCTGTTTGACAGTTGAATGGACTTTTTCAGGAGATGGTGGACTCTCCTTCCCTGGAGGTTTTTAAGCAGAGGTTGGATGGCCATCTGTCATGGATGCTTCAGCTGAGATTCCTGCATTGCAGGGGGCTGGACTAGATGACCCTCA